CTACCTTCACCACCTGCAGGCGGCAGGTCAGGAAGTCCAGGACCCAATTGCATAGGGAGGAGTTCATTCCCAGGACCGTGAGCTTAGAGGGCACTATGGTATTGAAGGCCGAGCTATAGTCGATGAACAGCATCCTCACGTATATAATCCTTTTGTACAGGTGGGTGAGGGCAGTGTGCAGTACAATGGCGATTGTGTCGTCTGTGGATCTGTCAGGGTGGTAGGCGAATTGGAGAGGGTTGAGTGTGCCAGAGAGGGAGGAGGTGATATGGTATTTCACTAGCCTCTCAAAGCACTTCATGATGATGGAGGTGAGTGCTACGGGACAGTAGTCATTCAGTTCAGTTACTTTCCCTTTCTTGGGCACAGGGATGATAGTGGACACCTAGAAGCAGGTGGGGATAGCAGCCTGAGCTAGAAAGAGATGGAAAATGTCCGAAAACACAACAGCCAGCTGGTCTGCACATACTCTGAGGGCACGGCTAGGGATGCCGTCTGGGCCGGCAGCCTTGCGAGGGTTAACACGTTTGAATGACTTACATACGTCCTTCGTGGAGACTGTAGGTTGTCCTCAGGGGCTCTCCTCGGCAGCTCAGAGTCATCGTTGTGCTCAAAGTGTGAGTGCAGGTCTTGTTGTAATAAACGTAATACATGTAATACAAGTATCTGTTATAACCGTATTTGTATATTTTTTGTATTTCCTAGAATAGGGGTCAGTGACCTCTCTCTCTCTCTCTCACACGCACACACAGATACGCACACACACACAAACAGACGCACACACACAGACACACCGGATAAAGACTCAACAGACACTATGAGTCAAAATAAGAAACCGACAAATCTGAATTTACTCTGAAGCTCGGGTAAACTACACCGCTCTGTGTGGTAAACATCTTAATGATATTGTGTGTGTTTGTTTGTATGTGTGTTTGTGTGTGGACATATCAGGGCTATAATAACTGTGTATAATAATCCACTCTGTTGAGAAAGAAAAGCAATTTTTTACCCCCAAGGTTAAATGATTACCTAAACAAGGATTTGGGCAGACCTGATATTCTGTCATTTAGTCTGCCAGGAAATATCCCATAACCATATTGAGGCCCTATAACCAACCCCGATTAGATCAACCTGTATCGAACGTCGAGCACAGGGAGAAAACAAAATAAGATGCATGGGCTTAATATTAATATAAATACATCTTTATTGTGTTCAGTCTCCTGATGCCAGAAAGGCTTCCCCAGTAATCAGTTTAAAAACTTCATTTTTCATCCTTACCCCGCCGAGGCAGGGGCTCGACCGATCGTACACGCATACACGTACACAACACACACACACACACACACCCCTCACCATTCGTATGGATTGCCAATCTGTGCTGTCCAGCAGCCTGTTGTTGATGTATTGAAAACACTAATCTACCACATTTGCATCTAACTCAGGCCTCGATGTACCGTTCTCTCTCTTTCCCCCTCTCTTTCTCCCTCTCTTTCCCTTCTCTTTCCCTCTCTCTTTCCCCTCTCTTTCCCCCTCTCTTTCCCTCTCTCTTTCCCCCTCTCTTTCTCCCTCTCTTTCTCCCTCTCTCTCTTTCCCCCTCTCTTTCCCCCTCTCTTTCCCTCTCTCTTTCCCCCTCTCTTTCCCCCTCTCTTTCCCCCTCTCTTTCTCCCTCTCTTTCTCCCGCGCGGTCTTCTCCCGCCCTCTTTCCCCCCCTCTCTTTAAACCACTCTCTTCCCTTCTCTTTCCCCCTCTCTCTTCGTCCCTCTCGTTCTCCCCTCTTTTCTCCCTCTCTCGTCTCCTTCACTATGCCCCTTTTTTACTGCCGACATTCCCTCTCTGTCTCGCCTCTATCTCCCTCTTCTGTCCTCTTCTGTGACCCCCTATCTCTCTCTCTCTCGCATCTCCTCTCTCTCATCGTCTTGTCCCGCTCTCTTCTCCTCTCATCCCTCTCCCCCGTTTCTCTCCCCCTCCTCTCGCTCTCTCTCTCTCTCTCTCTCTTTCTCTCTTCTCGCTCCCTCTCCACCGTTCTCTCCCCACTCTCTCCCTATTTTCTCTCTCTCTCTCCCTCCCTCTCTCCCTCTCTCTGCAGGTTGGGTACAGAGGTGTGTAGAGACAGACAGACAGACAGGGTTGATGATGCTGTAATGATTAAACACCGTACGGTCCTCCCCACAGCTAAGAGATCTCAGTCACAGCTCTCTGCCTTAATACACTACACAAAGCTATTAGTGAAGGTCATCCCGTAGCACACACTCACACACACATACACACAAACACACACACAGGGACACACATACACCCTAATTAAGTGGATAAATTAACATTTTTCAAATAACTCAGAATCCTCTAAAAACAGATGAGTAGTAGAACTATTTTAAACAACAAAACAACCCCCCGCCAACTTTCTCCCTCCCCCTTTCCCTTGCATTTAATTTGAAATGTAAGGTCTGCAGTGCTGCGTTAGTCTGTTCTCCCCAGCCATATGTTCCCACTGATAGGAAAGAGGTTCTAAATATAAAACGCAACATGCAACAATTTCAAAGATTTTACTGATTTTACTACAGTTCATATAAGGAAATCAGTCCATTGAAATAAATTCATTAGGCCCTAATCTATAGATGTCACATGACTGGGAATACAGATATGCATCTGTTTGTCACAGACAATGTCGTTTTAGAGAATTTGGCAGTACGTCCAACTGGCCTCACAACCACAGACCACGTGTAACCACACCAGCCCAGGACCTCCACATCCGGCTTGTTTACCTGCGGGATCGTCTGAGACCAGCCACCCGGACAGCTGATGAAACTGTGGGTTTGCACAACCGAAGAATTTCTGCACAAACTGTCAGAAACCGTCTCAGGGAAGCTCATCTGCGTGTTTGTCGTTGTCACCAGGGTCTTGACCTGACTGCAGTTCGTGTCTACAGTATTTAGGCTACACCAGCACTAATTCACAGAGATGTTGATATGAGTCGACCAAGGATAGGTCACACAGCCTGAGTAATTGATAGCAAGACAACGAATGAGCCCATGCAGCAGCACCAGAGACATTTAGATTTTTATATAGGCTATTGTAAAAAAATATATATACGTTTTTTAACAGTGCTAAAGTTGTCTATTATTCTGTAAAATGTGAGCGCAACAGAGCCACAGTTACAACTGAAGTATTTGATGATCAATAGATTAGAGAAAAAGCAAGTTGTTTTTTAACACAGCAGCTGCATATAATCAGGTAGGTCCTTGTTTAATAACCTACGACATGTTGAAATGCTGAAGCTTCTTACGATAGCCTACTTCAAAACCAAATGGTACATAGTCACAAAAGTAGATGGGGTGTTAATTCAATGATATCTTTAAACCAAAAATGAATGGAGCGAATTTGGAGCGTACGTTTTTTTTTTCTGTGAGCGCTGAGCAATGTTTAGTGGAGCGGGGAAAAGGACGTTGAGCGCAAAAGCTGTGCGCGAAGACTGCTCCGTGAGCAATGAGTGGGATTTCCAACAGCTCAACTCCGCTCACATACTCTGTTTTTTCAAGAAATCCTGGTTGGAGGTTTCCGGACTTCCGGCTTATTCCCTCCAGATTCCGGGAATCCTCCAACCAGGATTTCTGGAAAACCCTGGGAATTTACTGAAAGTTCCTGGAATTTTGCAACCCTAGGTCTGAGAGACATTAACACATTGAGACGTGATATGAACACTGGGCTTCATTAACAGTAATAGTGGGGAGATTTTAACGGCTGTTTTGACGTTTCATAAACCACGTGTCAACCTGTGGGTGAATGTGGTAGAGTTTAGTAGGGTAAGGTGTGGTACAGTCTAGTACTATACAGTATGCAGGGCTCTACACTGCAACCATTTTACTCGCATATGCGCCTAATATTAGATATGTGCGAACTGAAAAAGTCAAGTATGAGCACATGTGCGAGTTGTGATTTCTAGCCGTAGCTATTTAAAAAAATATTTCTGACGTTTTGTCTCATAGCTTGAAGCTAATCACACAAATAACTACGAATGACATAAAATGAATCTTTCAGCACGGGCACTGTTGTTGCTGCGCAAGGTATGTGAGTGAAGTGCTGAAAGATTCATTTTTAGCATAGAAGTGCACAGGGATAGCAGTTGGTCGAATTTACCCGAAAGTATACTAAAGTGTGACTTTGTCTTCATGTTTATTGGCTATTTACATCGTTTTGTTCACACGCTAGGTTGTTTTTCAATGTTCGTTTGAGCTTGCTCAACTGCTGGTGAAGAGAAGAGTTGTCAGAGATGTCACACCCTGATCTGTTTCACCTGTCTTTGTGATTGTCTCCACCCCCCTCCAGGTGTCGCCCATCTTCCCCATTATCCCCAGTGTATTTATACCTGTGCTCTCTGTTTGTCTGTTGCCAGTTCGTTTTGTTTCTTCAAGCCTACCAGCGTTTTTCCCCTTGCTCCTGTCTTTTTCAAGTTCCTGTTTTCTAGTTTTCCCGGTTTTGACCATTCTGCCTGCCCTAACCCAGAGCCTGCCTGCCGTTCTGTATCTTGTCACACCACCCTGGATTATTGACCTCTGCCTGCCCTGACCCTGAGACTGCCTGCCGTTCTGTACCTTTTGGACTCTGATCTGGATTACTGACCTCTGCCTGCCCTTGACCTGTCGTTTGCCTGCCCCCTGTTTTTGTAATAAACTTTTGTTACTTCAACACTGTCTGCATCTGGGTCTTCTCCTGAAACGTGATAGGAGAATCTCATGTCTCTGACAGACACGGAGTGCCTCGTTACCACGATAACGGCCCACCCCTTAACAGGGCAGCTGATCATTTTTATCTCACCTAAGTGACTTAATATTTTAGGTTATTCTGCTTGATTGAGAATGCAACACTCACTTTCATTGTGCTCCTAAATTTCTTTGTGTGCACCTACATTTTTCAACATGTGCTCCTTGTATAACATTTCAGTGTAGAGCCCTGGTATGGCAGGAGCAGCTCACAGGCTGACATTTCTAGTGTAGGAATAACCTGCTGTGTATGGGGCTGAGGCCTGGGGTTGGTGTGTATGGGGCTGAGGTCAGGGTTGGTGTGTATGGGGCTGAGGCCTGGGGTTGGTGTGTATGGGGCTGAGGCCTGGGGTTGGTGTGTATGGGGCTGAGGCCTGGGGTTGGTGTGTATGGGGCTGAGGTCAGGGGTTGGTGTGTATGGGGCTGAGGCCTGGGGTTGGTGTGTATGGGGCTGAGGTCAGGGTTGGTGTGTATGGGGCTGAGGTCAGGGTTGGTGTGTATGGGGCTGAGGTCAGGGTTGGTGTGTATGGGGCTGAGGTCAGGGGTTGGTGTGTATGGGGCTGAGGCCTGGGGTTGATGTGTATGAGGGTGAATGTATGTGTCTTACCTGCCAAGGCCAGGGTTGAAGCCATAGTGGAGCTCCTGACACTGGTCACACCTGCGTCCTCCCACCGAGGGGTCAACACACAGACACTGCCCCATCCGGCCGTCACACACCTGTCCCGACGAGCCCACCGGGTGACAGTCACACTCCACACACACGCTCACCTCAGAGCCCAACTCTGACACAGAGAGGAAGTAACCTGGAATCAAATGAAACGGGTACGATATTAGAGACAACACCTACACAATACATTATAACAGCATGGAACAATAACAATTTTGCCATAACCGAACCTGGACTCAGGTAATAGACCAACAATAGACACCATTTGTGACAAACACATAATTGAGGAGAGGCCCAAAAGAAGGACAATATTGGAATTATATACAGTGGGGAAAACAAGTATTTAGTCAGCCACCAATTGTGCAAGTTCTCCCACTTAAAAAGATGAGAGAGGCCTGTAATTTTCATCATAGGTACACATCAACTATGACAGACAAATTGGGGAAAAAAAATCCAGAAAATCACATTGTAGGATTTTAAATGAATTTATTTCCAAATTATGGTGAAAATAAGTTTTGGTCACCTACAAACAACAAGATTCTGGCTCTCACAGACCTTAACTTCTCCTTTAAAAGGCTCCTCTGTCCTCCACTCGTACCTGTATTAGGCACCTGTTTGAACTTGTTATCAGTATAAAAGACACCTGTCCACACCTCAAACAGTCACACTCCAAACTCCACTAGGCCAGACCAAAATGTCACGTTCGTCAGGATGAAGGAGACCAAGGCGCAGCGATGAAAATAACATGTTATTTATTTACTTAAAGCAACCAAACAACACCAAAGCGACGAATGTGAAGTCCAATAGTGACAAAGACTAACAGGAACAAAACCACAACCCTCATGGAACCACAAACAGTTAAATTGCTCCAATAGAGATAACGATCCGACAGCTGACACTCGTTACCTCGATTTGGAGTCACCGACACCACAAATCTCACCCAAAACAAACCAAACGAATCACCCTATCAACAAACCCCACAACAAACCCCACAAACAAATACAACCCTGCTCAATACAAAGTCCCGACAGAGGTCACAAAGAGCTGTCAAAGGACACCAAAACAAAATTGTAGACCTGCACCAGGCTGGAAGACTGAATCTGCAATAGGTAAGCAGCTTGGTTTGAAGAAATCAACTGTGGGAGCAAATATTAGGAAATGGAAGACATACAAGACCACTGATAATCTCCCTCGATCTGGGCTCCACGCAAGATCTCACCCCGTGGGGTCAAATGATCACAAGACGGTGAACCACAGGGGGGGACCTAGTGAATGACCTGCAGAGAGCGGGGACCAAAGTACAAAGCCTACCATCAGTAACACACTACGCCGCCAGGGACTCAAATCCTGCAGTGCCAGACGTGTCCCCCTGCTTAAGCCAGTACATGTCCAGGCCCGTCTGAAGTTTGCTAGAGTGCATTTGGATGATCCAGAAGAGGACTGGGAGAATGTCATATGGTCAGATGAAACCAAAATATAACTTTTTGGTAAAAACTCAACTCGTTGTGTTTGGAGGACAAAGAATGCTGAGTTGCATCCAAAGAACACCATACCTACTGTGAAGCATGGGGGTGGAAACATCATGCTTTGGGGCTGTTTTTTCTGCAAAGGGACCAGGACGACTGATCCGTGTAAAGGAAAGAATGAATGGGGCCATGTATCGTGAGATTTTGAGTGAAAACCTCCTTCCATCAGCAAGGGCATTGAAGATGAAACGTGGCTGGGTCTTTCAGCATGACAATGATCCCAAACACACCGCCCGGGCAACGAAGGAGTGGCTTCGTAAGAAGCATTTCAAGGTCCTGGAGTGGCCTAGCCAGTCTCCAGATCTCAACCCCATAGAAAATCTTTGGAGGGAGTTGAAAGTCCGTGTTGCCCAGCGACAGCCCCAAAACATCACTGCTCTAGAGGAGATCTGCATGGAGGAATGGGCTAAAATACCAGCAACAGTGTGTGAAAACCTTGTGAAGACTTACAGAAAACATTTGACCTGTGTCATTGCCAACAAAGGGTATATAACAAAGTATTGAGAAACTTTTGTTATTGACCAAATACTTATTTTCCACCATAATTTGCAAATAAATTCATAAAAAATCCTACAATGTGATTTTCTGGAAAAAAATTTCTCATTTTGTCTGTCATAGTTGACGTGTACCTATGATGAAAATTACAGGCCTCTCTCATCTTTTTAAGTGGGAGAACTTGCACAATTGGTGGCTGACTAAATACTTTTTTGCCCCACTGTACAATCTAACTCTATTAGGGTTGCAAAATCCATAAACATTTCCAGAATTCAGATTTCCTGAATATTCCCTCCTTGAATTTTCCAACCAAAATGATGGAAATCCTGGATATTTTGGGAATGCTACCAGAATTTTGCAACCCTTGGTTTAATCTATAATGCCTTTTGGATAAGGACATTTCATGCCATTCATCTTGTGTTGAATTGACAGTATAGACCTATATCTGACCCCCTATTCCAGGGATCATCAACTAGATTCAGCCGCAAGCCGATTTTTTCTTGAGCGGATGGTCAGGGGGCCGTAACATAATAATTTTGACTGCAAATTGACAGCAAGAAGCCGAAACATTTATAATATTTGACTAAAACATAATAATTTCAAACCTTGCTTACATTTGAATACGATCACATATATCTCTCTGTTACGCGTGGGAACATTTTGGACCAGATGTCTAAAATTAAAATCACTTGGAGCTGATTTGCTGGTGTTTTTACAGTCTTTTATGTCCCAGCTCCAAGAGGTTTTAATTTTGAACATATGTTCCAAAGTATTCCCACGCATAATACTTGGGGGGCAAATAAAAAAAACCCACGGGCCAAATTCAGCCCGCGGCCCGACAGTTGGGGAACCCTGCCCTACTCCTACCACAGGGCCTAAGAGGCATGACAAGGCCTGAGCATGTGTGTGTGTGTGTGTGTGTGTGTGTGTTTGTGTATTTGGCCCCTGAATATGCTGTGGTGAGTTTTACAGTAAACCTGATGGTTCATCTCCATTATCAACACAATTCAGCAGCTGCTACTAATGGCCCCACACACACACGCACTCATGAGCGAGCATGCACACGCAGACACGCATTCACACACACACACACACACACACACACACACACACACACACACACACACACACACACAAACACACACACACACACACACACACACAAACAAACTCACATAAACACACACACACAAACACACAAACAAACACACACAAACAAACACACACACACACAAACACACACACACAAACAAACACACACACACAAACAAACACACACAGAGGTGAAGAAGGGAAAGGGGATGCCATGGTCTGGGTCCTCTAAGGTGAAGAAAGGAAAGGGGATGCCATGGTCTGGGTCCTCTAAGATGAAGAAGGGAAAGGGGATGCCATGGTCTAGGTCCTCTAAGGTGAAGTTGACTGGCAGTGGAGCCCCAATCGCCGATGGGTGAGTTGCCACCGGCCACATGAGGGACAGCCTGTAGCTAAGCAAGCTAAACGCTAATGCGATAATGCCCACAGTGAATGCCAAGCACTCATCATCATTACCCAGGACAAAGCACACACACACACACATAGGCACACACACATACACACGCATATGCACGAAAGCACGCACACGACAACACCTCCAGGAGCCAAGAAACAAAAAGACACACTACAGGGACCATCCATCCATCAGACAGAGAGAAAAGAACAGACTGAGTGTGTGATTTGAAAGAGAGCGACAGGAACAAAGCGCGTGAAAGAGGAGTGTGTTGAGCATTGTGGTAAACAGCATGGCAGCTTGTCGTCAATGCCAGAGCTGAGATGCTTCAGTGTAATGAGCTGGGAGCTGTGTTCGTCGATACTTATTCAACAATAAGTCTATATAGTATTACTGTCATATACAGTACTTCTCCTACAGAGTTAAAGGTGTGAGTAAGAGAGATAAACACAAACATTCAGTTGTTAAGCACACCAGTTGGGTAGATTCCTGAACGAACACACACACACTCACTCACCTGGCCTACATATACCGCAGTCCCTTCCGTGGCGCGTGGGCACACACACACACTGCCCGGTGTCCGCGTCACACATCGTCCCCTCCACTGTTCCCGTGGGGTCACACACACACGGAACACACCCCTGGGGGTCAAAGATCATGTTGTAGTAGGGGTGAGGTGTGATGTCATCGTAGAGGTCAGATGTCGTGTTGTAGTAGTGTAGGGAGCAGCGTGTACACAGGGCCCCCTCCACCCCCTCCCTACAGGGACAATGGCCGTTGACGGGGTCACACACACCCCGCTCCAGGGTGCCGCGGACGTCACACGCACACGCCAGACACCCCAAGGAGTTCCTCCTCTCCAGGCTGTGGTAACCACGGCGACACGAGTCGCAGCGACGCCCCTCTGTGTTTTCCTAAAAAAAACATATTTTAAGTGATATATAAAAAATGACTAGTAGATACAGTGAAGGAAAGAAGTATTTGATCCCCTGCTGATTTTGTACGTTTGCCCACTGACAAAGAAATGATCAGTCTATAATTTTAATGGTAGGTTATTTGAACAGTGAGAGACAGAATAACAAAAACAAAAATCCAGAAAGACGCATGTCAAAAATGTTATAAATTGATTTGCATTTTAATGAGGGAAATAAGTATTTGACCCCCTCTCAATCAGAAAGATTTCTGGCTCCCAGGTATCTTTTATACAGGTAACGAGCTGAGATTAGGAGCACACTCTTAAAGGGAGTGCTCCTAATCTCAGCTTGTTACCTGTATAAAAGACACCTGTCCACAGAAGCAATCAATCAATCAGATTCCAAACTCTCCACCATGGCCAAGACCAAATAGCTCTCCAAGGATGTCAGGGACAAGATTGTAGACCTACACAAGGCTGGAATGGGCTACAAGACCATCGCCAAGCAGCTTGGTGAGAAGGTGACAACAGTTGGTGCAATTATTCGCAAATGGAAGAAACACAAAATAACTGTCAATCTCCCTCGGCCTGGGGCTCCATGCAAGATCTCACCTCGTGGAGTTGCAATGATCATGAGAACGGTTAGGAATCAGCCCAGAACTACACGGGAGGATCTTGTCAATGATCTCAAGGCAGCTGGGACCATAGTCACCAAGAAAACAATTGGTAACACACTACGCCGTGAAGGACTGAAATCCTGCAGCGCCCGCAAGGTCCCCCTGCTCAAGAAAGCACATATATAGGGCCGTCTGAAGTTTGCCAATGAACATCTGAATGATTCAGAGGTCAACTAGATGAAAGTGTTGTGGTCAGATGAGACCAAAATGGAGCTCTTGGGCATCAACTCAACTTGCCTTGTTTGGAGGAGGAGGAATGCTGCCTATGACCCCAAGAACATCATCCCCACCGTCAAACATGGAGGTGGAAACATTATGCTTTGGGGGTGTTTTTCTGCTAAGGGGACAGGACAACTTCACCGCATCAAAGGGACGATGGACGGGGCCATGTACCGTCAAATCTTGGGTGAGAACCTCCTTCCCTCAGCCAGGGCATTGACAATGGGTCGTGGATGGGTATTCCAGCATGACAATAACCCAAAACACACGGCCAAGGCAACAAAGGAGTGGCTCAAGAAGAAGAACATTAAGGTCCTGGAGTGGCCTAGCCAGTCTCCAGACCTTAATCCCATAGAAAATCTGTGGAGGGAGCTGAAGGTTCGAGTTGCCAAACGTCAGCCTCGAAACCTTCATGACTTGGAGAAGATCTGCAAAGAGGAGTGGAACAAAATCCCTCCTGAGATGTGTGCAAACCTGGTGGCCAACTACAAGAAACGTCTGACCTCTGTCATTGCCAACAAGGGTTTTGCCACCAAGTACTAAGTCATGTTTTGCAGAGGGGTCAAATACTTATTTCCCTCGTTAAAATGCAAATCAATTTATAACATTTTTGACATGCGTTTTTCTGTTTTTTTTTGTTGTTATTCTGTCTCTCACTGTTCAAATAAACGTACCATTAAAATTATAGACTGATCATGTCTTTGTCAGTGGGCAAACGTACAAAATCAGCAGGGGATCAAATACTTTTTTCCCTCACTGTAAGATAATTATCAGTAATAGACGTCAGTAAACATATCCTCACACACTCACCTTACACACACACTGTCCAGTCTCGGGGTCACACACAGTCCCAGGTACGGTCCCGTCAAGCGAGCAGAGACATAGGATGCAGGAGCCCTCCTGGTGGAGGCCGTAGAGGCCCCGTTCACAGGAGTCACAGCGCTGGCCCCCCACCCCCACCCTGCACTCACACTGGCCCCCCTCTGGCTCACAGAAGGGGCTGAGGGACCCCACCGGGTCACAGTCACACCCCACACAGCCATCAAGGTGGGAGGAATTTAACAGCTTGTAGCCATAGTCACACCTGTCACAGGTACGACCTGAGGGAGAGAGAGAGAGAGAGAGAGAGAGAGAGAGAGAGAGAGAGAGAGAGAGAGAGAGAGAGAGAGAGAGAGAGAGAAAAAGAGAGAGAAAAAGAGAGAGAAAAACAGAGAGAAAAACAGAGAGAAAAAGAGAGAGAGAAAACAAGAGAGAGAGAAAGGAGTAAGCGTATAGAGAAGAGAGAGCGAGAGAGAGAGGAGAGAGAGAGAAGCGAGAGAGAGAGAGAGAGAGAGAGAGAGAGAGAGAGAGAGAGAGAAAGGTTACAGGGTACCGGATAGGCAGAGATGCAATGTTAACACAGTCAAAACTCAAAGCTCTCAAAGCTGCAATCTGCAATACAACAACGAGCTCCCCAAGTAACTGTGTGACTAACTCAGCCTTCTCCCTAAATAATTTATTGGAGAGGATGTCCATATTAACAACTCACCCAGATTCAGCCATAAAGACTGGGCCTACTTAAAATACAGCCTCGTTAAATGTCTGTATGACTGACTGGTGCTTGGCCATAACCACCCCTTCTTACAGCTAGACTCATCTATCTCCATCACCCGCCAGTCGCCATCACTCTGACTAACAGAACTAGTTTATGGACCTGTATGAACAAGTCTTAACCCAGATATTCTATAAATGTAATATATTGCTAAATCAACAAATAAGTAACTGTGTGAAAAATTACAAGAGAGTGTTTTTGTGTGTGTGTGTGTGTGTGTGCACGTGTGTGTAAAGTCAGAAAAACGGCATCATTAGGCCAGGTCGTCTTTGTATGATGGATCACCCTCCTCAGGCAGAACACTTAATTTCACTGAGAGAGAAAATAAATAAATTAACAACTACGAGAGCGAGAGAGAAAAAAGAGAGAGAGAGAGAATGAGAGAGAGAGAGAGAGAGAGAGAGAGAGAGAGAGAGAGAGAGAGAGAGAGACAGACAGACAGACAGACAGACAGACAGACAGACAACAGACAGACAGACAGACAGACAGACAGACAGACAGACCAGAGAGCGAGAGAGAGAGAGAGGAGAGAGAGGAGAAATGAGGAGGGAGAGAGAGAGAGAGAGAGAGAGAGAGAGAGATGTCTGTAGAAATAACAGTGAGGCAGAGAGAGAGAAGCATTACTCCCTCTCAGTGGAGTGTAGTCTACATGGATCCCTACTAGCGTCATATTGGGGCTGTATTAAAATATATAAAATATGCACAGGCAACTCTGTTATTGAATATCCATACTATTTCCTTGACAGGGAAACTATCCCCATTTCCAGGGACCCCCGGGAAGGCCGTTTAACACAATACTGCACCCCACCCACTCCCACCCCACTGCCCCAAAAACCCTTTTTAATTTTATAATTTAATTTTTTTCTTTCCCCCCATTTTCCCCCATTTTTTTCGGGTTTTTTTTAACGGTTTTTGGGCCCCCATGGTACCTGCTCGGGGGGTGGGGTTTGTTGGGGGGTTGTTGTGTATGTGGATGGGGGTGTTATGTGTATTGTGGTGTGGGTGTGGGTGTACGTGTGTGGGTGTGTGTGTGTGGGTGTCTTGTCGTGGGTGTGTTGTTTGAGTGGGTGTTGTAGTGGGTTGTGGTGTAAAAGGTTGTGTATGTGGTTGGGTGTGTGTGTGTGGTGCTTGTCTGGTGTGTGTGTTTGTGTATGGTAGTGTGTATTTTAGTGTGTGGGGTGTGGGGTTAGCGTTAGGGGGTTTTAGTGGTGTTGTTTGTGTGTGTGTGTGTGTGTGTGTGTTGTGTGTGTGTGTGTGTGTTGGTGTGTGTTTTGTGTGTGTGTCGTGTGTGTGTGTGTGTTGGGGTTGTGTGGTTGTGTGTGGGTTGTGTGTGGGTGTGTGTGGTTTTTGTGTGTGTGTGTGTGTGTGTGTTTGTGTTTTGTTTTTTGTGGTTTGTGTGGTGTTGGTGTGGTGTGTTTTTTTGTTTTTAGTTTTTGTGTTTTTTTTTTTAAATTTTTTTTTTGGTTTTTTTTTGTTGTGTTGGTTTTGGGGTTTTTGGTTTTTTTCGGCCTGTTTTCGGGTTCTTTTCCTGTTTTTTTTTGTACTGTTTTTTTCCTTTTTTTTTTTTGTTTTTTTTTTGTTTTGGTTTTTCTTGCGTCTTTGTGGTTGTGGTTTTTTTGGTTTGGTGTTTTGTTTTTTGGTGTGGCGTGTGTGTTGTGTTTTTTTTCTTGTGGTCTCTTTGGTTTTTTTTTCGGGCTGGTTTCAACCATTTAAATTCCCGCCCCGAATACACAAAACCCAAAAACTTTCCCAAAAAACAAAATGGGCTTTTAAGGTTTTTTTTTCCTATTTTTTTTTACCCCCTCTTCTTTTTCTCTTTTTTAATTAAATCTGGGGGGGGGTGGGGGGTTTTTTTTTTTTTGGGGTTTTTTAATCCCTCCCCTTTGCTTTTCCTTTTTTTGTGTTTTCTTTCCCCGCCTGTTCCCCTTTGTTTTTGATGTTTTTGGGCTTTCCCCGTTTTATTTTTCAGCAACAGAAAAAACCCAACCCCGGGTTTTTTTTTTTCCCTTTTCACTTTTGGGGCCCGCTCGTTTTCCCCGGTTTTTTCCTTCCTTTTCCCGGGTTTCCCCATTGGGCCCCAAAAAAATTTTAATGGGGTTTTTTGGGGTTTAAAAAAACCGAAGCCATAGTATTACACGGGTTAACTTTACCTGCAAATTAGATCTTAACTCTGACATACTGTATTTCTCTGGCTTTATTGCATTCTTGTGTTGTGGTTTCTTTTGTTTTGGATTATATTCATAATGCAACAGATCACTACCTGTGGTTGTTGGGTTTTTCTTTTGCAGCTTTGGTGTAGAGTAAGATCATTAAGTCAAATAAACTGGAAAATGATCAGGCAGTCACAAAATGATTCCTGTAATAGTTTGTAGTGTTCTATTTGTTACATGTAACTCAGTTTGGATTCTGTTCATTGCAGTCATGTACACCACTAATTCTACAGGCCTTGAGTACTACAGCCATTAACATCCAGCTACTGTAACCAGGACAGTGACAGAGCGTGTGTGTATTAATAAAGTGGTTTTACATTCTTCTATCTATTAAATAAGAGTAACGACATCTACTATCTAGGTCAGCTCTGCTGTTTACCATTAAATCATAGGTAAGTGGAGTGTGTTTTGGTGTGTTTGTGCATGCATGCATGCTTGTGCATGCGTCTTTCTGTGTGTGTACGTGAGCCCGCGCACGCGTGTATCTCTACAGTTTGCATGTATTGGGACAAGTCCCCCCCGTCCCCCCCCCATCTTGCTCCTCAGCCAACAGTATAACAATCTCCTATATCACCATTTCAAATACTATTATGTACACACTGCACTTATGAAGCTGCCGCTGCTCCCCTCAACCACCCAGCCATTAATAAATTGCCATAATCAAATCTAATTTCAGAAAAATACCTATGGGAGCAAAAAAAAATGTTTAAGAGTGGGGTCTTGTAAGAAGAGTGAAAAAGACGCGGGGCCCGGGCAGATTGTTCTAATCAACTTGGCATTGAATTAGAGAATTAAAATGAGGTGGACGTTGATATCCTGGCTTAGCAAAAAACATGGTGTGGTGAGTAGGGTTCGTTTTGCATTTTCATACGAGATTCTTGAAAGACACTCAGGGGAGAAACGGAGCAGATTTATCACAAAGGAGCTAGGAAGGCTTGGAAGAAACGGCCACGAGAAGGAGGAAAATCGTTTTGGCTGCCGCTAGTGGGGATTTCATGAAAATAAGGGATGTGTGTGTGGTGTGAAAAAAACAGATAGATTGGCCAACAATGTGCTGAGCGCTCAACAACCTAATCATATCACTTACATACAGGTTAGTCTATTTTTTTTAGTTTCTTTTTTTTTAGGGGGTAGATCAGCTTAATATTGCAGATAGATTGTAACTTCCATCAATGTAATTGTCTGCATCACTTCCAATCCCCCATGTTTAAAAAAATATATATACATACATACACACATACACATACACATACACATACACATACATATATATATATATATATATATATATATATATATATATATATATATATATACATATATATACACATATATATACACATATATATACACATATACACACACACATACATACACACATACACACATACACACATACATACATACATACATACACATACATATCCTTTAAAAATATATATATATATTCCCCTTTATTACTTTCCAACCCCGCCACCCTTTCCCTACTTGGAGTAAACTAGTGAACAACAATGCTTAGGCCTCTACTTCCAGCTTATACTTACTATCTACATTTTATGGACACAGTAAATTTTACAATAATTATATTTTGTTAGTTTTTTCACCTGAACTTCTTCTACTCTGAACCTCTCCGATCATTTTCATGATGTCCATCCGGTTTGCTTCTATATGCCATATCTTTCTAACTGTGCTCTTTCACAAAAGCTCCCAACCTACAACCTATATACTTATTATGGACACAGTATGCTTACAGTGGGGAAAAAAAGTATTTAGTCAGCCACCAATTGTGCAAGTTCTCCCACTTAAAAAGATGAGAGAGGCCTGTAATTTTCATCATAGGTACACGTCAACTATGACAGACAAATTGAGATTTTTTTTCTCCAGAAAATCACATTGTAGTTATTTTTAATGAATTTATTTGCAAATTATGGTGGAAAATAAGTATTTGGTCACCTACAAACAAGCAAGATTTCTGGCTCTCACAGACCTGTAACTTCTTCTTTAAGAGGCTCCTCTGTCCTCCACTCATTACCTGTATTAATGGCAACTGTTTGAACTTGTTATCAGTATAAAAGACACCTGTCCACAACCTCAAACAGTCACACTCCAAACTCCACTATGGCCAAGGCCAAAGAGCTGTCAAAGGACACCAGAAACAAAATTGTAGACCTGCACCAGGCTGGGAAGACTGAATCTGCAATAGGTAAGCAGCTTGGTTTGAAGAAATCAACTGTGGGAGAAATTATTAGGAAATGGAAGACATACAAGACCACTGATAATCTCCCTCGATCTGGGGC